GCCGGTTTGACGCCTTGTCCTGCCCCCCCCCCGTAGGGAGCCGGGTCGGGCTTCGATAGCCGGTGATGGCGTCCAAGCTGTTGCGGGCGGTGGTGCTGGGACCCCCCGGTTCGGGTAAAGGGACGATGTGCGAAAAGATCGCCCGGAGTTTCGGGCTCCAGCACCTCTCCAGCGGCCAATTCCTACGGGAGAGCCTCGGTGGCGGTGAGTGTCCGCGGGGCTGGGGGGGGGACGACCGGGGGTCTCCAGCGCCGGGCATCTTCCATAGGGATGAGATAGCGACGGGATGGGATGGGGGAATCCCCCCCCCCCTGCCACGGGTACACCGCGGGTTGTTTTCTTTCCGTGGAGGTTGGCACGGCTCATTCATCGCCTTCTCCATCCGGCCAGAGCTCCCGGAGGTGCCCCCGTTAATAAAAGTGGGGTCCGATGCCGCGGGGAGCCGTGGGCGCGTAATAGTTTCATCCCTACGCCGGGTTGGGTACGGCTCCGGAGAAGCCGGTACGAATAACCCACCCGTTCGTGCGCCGATGGTTAACGGCGGCGTCCGGGAACGCAGGTCACACGTTATTAATAACTTCATCCCGCCTCAGGTGGCCGTACAGGAATGGGGTAAAAACTGCAAAGCGGTGGACGGCAGATGGTTGAAACGCCGGTGCACGCTGTGCCTGCGCGATACCCACGGGGCAAGGGATGGAGTGGGAACGTGCGTTGGTCCAGCGGGGAAACCCCGCTGGGGAAATCACTGCGGGTCTCTGCTCCTGCCCGTCCCGTGTTTGACGTCCAGGTCCAAAGCCCTTGGGAGAACTGATGGTCTTTGCTGTGTTCGCGTCCCAGGCAGGGCTGTCGGCTGGTGAGATGCTCCCCGGCCCCGGCGAGGCTCGGGAGCGGGCGTGCTGCACCCCGGCTCGCGCTCCGGTTCCTCTGCAGCTGCCGTTAGGCAATCCCAGCGTATTTCTTTTTCCAACAGTTCCTTCTCTGCACTGCTAATGTGTGAAAGACCGACCCGGAGGGGAAGCTGACTCACCGGGCAGAGGAACGATAAAACGGCATCAGTAGAAAACAAGCCCAGAGAACCCAGAACTGTTTTCCCTTTTTAGAAGGGTAACATAACAAGGGAGAAAAAAAAGGGAGGGTAAAGTTTTGGAGAGCTGTGTGCTCCAGCAAGGGTGTTGCACGCAGCCCTGCGCTGGTCGCTCATTTAAAAATATCCAGATTTCCTTTTATAAATAAAAGGACAATAATATTTCCTTTGGAGGGAGACTCAAAATTAGGAAAAACCCCATGACTGCTTTGGCTGAAGGACAAAAGGCCTGGGTGAAAAGCAAGCAGAGGTGCAGCGTGCAGGAGCAAGGCAGTGCGGCGAGATTGCGTGCCCACCCAGGAACTTGCACAATCAAGCTCTAAATGAGTGTCTTTCCCGAACTTTATATTTCATTTCATACTCTTGCTGTAGAGCTTCTCTGGGGACACTGGAGAAGGAAGAAGGGGCTGTGAACAGAGTTAGCAGAAGGTGTTTCCCAAAGCGCATTGCGTAAATTCAGTTTCCCGAAGGAAACAACGCTGAGAAACGCAGGTAAAATTTCTCAGAAGTAAATCGGCCTTAGTTTGGTACGGCTGGCATGGCGTTCAGATCCCACCTTGGACTCAGCCTCTGGTTACAGCTCTCAGTAAGCTGCAGCTATTTGCTATTTTTTTTTTTTCTGTTTGCTTTGGACAAGCTGTTACATGACTGCTGTGGTGTGCCAGCTCTGGGGGAAACTAGGTGGAAGTAGATTCTCCTCCCGAGTTTATCATCTGCGCCACTGGCTTTGCATTTTAGGGGAGCTGGGGCCCTTCGATACAAACGGAATCATTACAGAACCATCATCCCAAAGGGACCCGCTGGTCCGGTGTTTTTAGAGTAATCTCAGTCTGAGGGCAGCAGGCAGGCGTCGATGCACGGGGGATTCTCCTGCTTGCTGTTGCAAGACACGAAGCAGCCATGGCTGTGGGGTTTGGGCTCGGGCGGCACGGAGGACTCCAGCCACCGGAGGAAGCCCGAGCCGTCCGGCACGGAGAGCGTGCCCGGCTCGCCACTGGTGTCGGCACTCTCGGGGAACCAGGATTTCACTTTGCAGCCGAACGAAGCGGCTGAATGCATGGCTGCCGCGCTTGAAGTTTTGCTACAGCAACCCTGCGAGTACATCCGCTACCACACGTTTGTCTGTTAATTAGCGTCTTGCTTAGTGAGTGGCTGCTCTGCTGTAGCAAAGGGCCTTTTTAAGATCTTGGATGACTTAGAAACTCTGGTTTTGGTGCTAGGCAGGGGTGCTGGAGGGTGATGAGCGATTTCCTTGTCCAGTACTTGCCCCGGTAACCCAGGTGGTCTTGGCAGCTCTGGTGTTGGCAGCGTCCCAGGGTCTTAGCAGGACTCGGCAGTTAATTTGCAATACAACTTAATTTCTTTTCCAAGTGGCTTTGGCTGAGGGTCTGCATCACCTGAGAGACATGTGGATCTTACGTCTGTCCCACCGCTCCCTTTAATGTGCTTCGTTGGAGGCAGAAGTGGCTCCTGTCCGCTCCTCGTGACAGATTTCATTTGTTAGCGTCAACCAAAGCGAGTGCAACAGAATGCCAAGGGGGTTGTGGGCTGTGCATGGCCGAGCCCCGCGGTCCTTCTCCCCACCAGCCTGTCGAAGCTGAACCCGGGAGATGCAACCCGCCAGCCCTTTGGTTTTCCATAGGGTCGGTGCTATACTTTTAGGCGTGGGAGCAGCAGCAATGCTCTGGCCACGGTGGTTTCCCCCAGCAGACGGACCCCGCCGTCCAGCCAGCCAGTGGGTCATGGCCCAAATTTGGGGCCACACCAGGCTCCAGCTCCCCAAAGTGATGTCCTGCCGGCAGGGGTGGGGTGGGAGCGAGGGCCCTGGATGCAGCATCCATGTCGGGAAAGAGGTCCTGGAGTCCCAAAACCGGGATGACATCTGGCCCCAACCAGCCGGGGTTGTTGCAGCTGGTGCATGGGTGGCTGGGGTCGGTGCCCTATTAACCATCCAGGGTTTCTCCTCTCTGTTAACTCCAGATTGTGTTGCTATAGTCTAAATAAATAAAAAAAGAAATCATGTAAAAGGTCACGCTGCAGGGCAGAAAGTCTGGGGTTATCTGGCAGGGTCTGGAGGCTGCCAAGTGCCGTGTTTGGGAACAGCCTCTCCTCCAGCCTGTCCTGCCTGGTCCTGGGCGGCTGTTTCGTTGCTTGTGGCCTTGGGGGTGGGAGACGTCCCTGGGGGCTGTAACTCAGCATTGCTTTGATAAGGAGGGACGGCTGCGGATCGGGGTCGCGTGGGGGAAGCTGCAGAGAGCCTGAAATCCCATGCGTTAAAGGGTGGATTAAATTCACGGTCGTTAGATTAATGGGATTAAGCCCGTGAGTCAAGAGGCCGTTTTGCACAGAGCTCGGTACTGCCGACCCAGCTCAGGCAGCACGAGTAGTGGCCAAGGAACCCCTTGCTACCTGGAGTAACTGCAGAGCAAAGCACGCAACCCCTCTCTGCACCCGGCCATAGCAATGGGGATTTTAGCGCTTGCAGAGGTGTTGTGCAGCGCAATAGGGGTGAGCCCCAGCTCCGCATGTGGGGGGACTGGGGTCTTCCACCCTGCTTGGGAAGGACTGCCCAAACTTTGGCTGTGCTGGGGGGACTTGCACGGAGCAGGTTGGGCTCCCGGGGCTGATGGCTGGTGTGGCTGGGAAGGGGATAGCAAATGTAAAAATCGGAGATAAAGGCCGCCTTGAAGAAACCCCGTGGGAGCAGGGCTGCGCTGCAGGGATGATGCGCTCCAGAGCATCCCTGGTGTCGGGGGTCCGGGGCACAGGGCAGCTCTGCGGGGTCTTTCCTGCAAAATACATGCCCGTTCCTCCTCGGCGAGAGGAGGGTTGGCGGTGGTCCTTTGGAGGAGGGAGAGGCTGGGGGGGCTCCAGTAGCTGTCTGGAAGTAGTCAGCACCCTGTGCTGGAGCACAGACCCCCGTGGTAGCACATTCCCCCCCCATGCTGGTGCATGCCTCCCTGTGCCAGTGCACGTCCCACATGCCGGTACGTCCCCCCGGCACGCATGGGGGGCACAGAAGAGCAGCATCCCCGGCAGCAAGAGTTGTCCATCGCGGAGTGGCGGAGAGCCATCCGCCCGTATCGGGGGGGGGGGCGTGGGAAAACTGCAGCCTCCGTGATGCCGAGCTGTGGGCCTCCGCTGTATTTCCAGACTTCACGACTGCGGCTCGGTGTATTTTTGGTTTGTAGCACCAGGCCCGGCTCCAGCAGCCCCGCCGAGCAGCAGCCGGTCCCTTGGATGGGCAGCCCTCCTCCTCGGAGCGGCAGCGGGACCTTCGGCTGCAGCTCCAGCCTCCGCGGCCGCCGGGCTCTGCCCTGGGAGCAGCTCAGCCCTGCCAGCAAGTGCGTTCCCTGCAAGCCTGTGGCAATGTGCGGACCGCATGAATAAATATTAAAAAATGTAGGTGGACGGGATAATATTTATGCCCTAGCAGGTCTCCATGCTGGTTGCATAAGACATCATGTATTCTTTCTATCCCCGTGTCCTTTGCTTTCCCAAGCAGGAGAGCTGCCAGAAGCGCTGGTGACGTATGGGCAGCGACAAAAAACTTGTCATCGAAAAAAAAAAAAGGTATTTTCTGCTCGCTGTGCCTGGCAGCCACCGTGGCTCCGAGCAAAGAGCTGCTCAGCGGGGTGAGCTGAAATGACTTTATGGAGCGAAGGGAGGGGGACACGCACCCTGTCCCTTGCGGTGACTCAGCCCCGCAGGCCGGTGAGTCAGCGCCTGCTGCCTGCCCTGTTTCGGAGGCAGGTTTCCAACTGGAGAGCCTGGCTCGCCTGGCAGCCCTGACCTGTCCGACTTTCCTGCCAGGCATCCTCTGCAGATCCTTTCGGGAGCCTGCGAGGTTTTCTGACCGTGCCCCGGTCCCACGCTCCTGGGGGGATCCTTGCAGTTAGCGTCAGGTTCCCCCATTAGATCAGATGAACTCTCTCCAGGAACTGTATATCTCGCAAAAAAACCCTTCTGTAGCTCAGGAATTCAGCCCGCGGCCAGGTGCACGTGCCTGCCCGCTTTGATATCTTGCTGCAGTCCGGAAAACCAGATCCTGCGTCCAAATGCAGGATCCTGTGGCTTTTTTTAGAAAGGACTCGTGCTTTGCGAGGGCTAAAATGTGCTGTCCTCACCAGAAATCTTGCAAAAATTGATGGCAAAATTGTTCGTTTCTGGAGACAGATGCTATTTCAGCTGCCGCAGGAAGAGAGCAGAAGAGGTGTCGATCGGGTCCTGGTCCAAGAGGAAAGAGGCCAGACCTCTTCTGGTGGCAGGATCAGGACTTGTCACACGCGGTGGCAAAGAATATTTGCATTTTCCAAATAGTTCCTTTGTGTCTCTTGAGTGGCTAAAGGAAAATCCCAGGCAAACTGTCATGTAAGAAGCAACTACATTTATTGCATCTCTCCTTGAAGTAACGTCTGCTTTACCCCAGCTGCAATAAAAATATAAGCAGAATAAACCCTTATTACGTTGGCTGCTGGCAGCGGCTGCCTGGGTGACACCAGCCTGCTGCGAACGTGGATCCAGACACGGCGTTACCTGTGCAGAAACCACCGCGGGCTTCTCCTCCAGCACTGCTGGCTCCAGCTGAGTGATGTGGGGGAGAGCCAGGCAGGAGCCCGGTAAGGTATATTTACCTTACAGTTACACCGCAATTACATTCTCAAGGGCTTGATCTTGGAAATAATTTTCTTTTCTGAGCATATCTTAAGTTGAGGCTCTGAAGTCTTAAAGCCCTTGGGATGGGAAGCCGTCTTCTGCTTTCGGCAGTGATTTAACAAACGCTTTGAGGTTTGGGTTTCGCGTGAGCTCGCTGGTGATGCCTGGTTACTGCCGTGTTTCGCACGTGAAATCGTGAATTTGCACTCTTCAGATTGTTTATAAATGATGACACCAGCTTTTCCTGATGATGGTCGTACGTGGAAACTTTGTGCCTGTGAGCCAAATGCTGCCGGATTTGCAAGCATCGCTTAAATGCATCATTTGTCCTCATGGCTTTACTGGAAACTTTTCTGAGGCACCAGAATTTGCAGCTGTGGCTCAGTGCATGTAGGAATAGGCATTATTAACATCCTGTATCTGGCACTGACATTGCTTTAAAGCAGGCAGCGAGATGTTGGCCAGATCTGCGGTCCGGGATGGGATGACCCTCCCACCGTCGGAGGTGTGCGGAGGTTGGCGGCATCCCTTGCAGCTGGTTTGGTGTCTTCGGGACATTTAATATCCGTGCCAGTGTCGCCTGTAAGCACACCGGTGCTGTCTCCAAAACCAAAGGAGCTCTGTGCGTAGTGTCCAGCGTGGCAGGGATGGTGCCGGTGCCTCTCTCTGCCGTCAGCCGGCTGGCAGGGCTCTGAGGGCTTGGCTGATCCTCGCTGTGTTCCTGCTCTCGGGTATTTCAGGCATTTCCATTTCTACCACACCAAAACGACCACGTGGTCCCCAGCTACCAGGAGCAGCAGCTACGAGCAGAGGGATGCTGCTGAAAAGCTCCTGGATGAGCGATTCGGGAGGACAGGCAGGATTTGAGGGGGAGTGATATTTTTTAAGCTGAAAGGTCATGCTTTTTTTTTTTTTTTTTTTTCCCTTCTCTCGAACAGAAGTTGGCGTCTTGGCAAAGCAGTACCTTGAGCGAGGCCTTCTGGTGCCGGACCACGTCATCACACGCGTGATGATGTCAGAGCTGGAGAAGCGGCGAGAGCAGCCCTGGCTGCTCGACGGTGAGTGCGCTGCCAGCATCCCTGCTGGACGGGAAAATCCCAGCCCCCTTTCAAACTATTATTTTGCTGCTAATGGTTTGGCAGCACCAGGAGAGAGAGGAAAACCAGAAGGTGCTTTTGCTGGTGGTGGGAGGAGAGGCAGGAGCTGACCTGCCGGCAGAGACATCTGCCTGCGGGTGTTTCTTCCCTCTGCCCTAAGCAGCAGCACGTGCGTGTCCAGCTGAGCCCTTGGCATGTGTCCGGGAAAGGGAAAAGCAGGGAAAGGAGATGGGTGTTTCGTAAAGCAAAGCCAACGAGCAGAGCAGGGCTGGAGGCGAGCCAAGAAAAACCTCTTACCACCTCCAAACGTGCGCGAAGCAGCTGCTCATCCCGAGCCCGAAAGCTACCTGAGGTGCTCGTGGAGAAGATGCTGAGAGCAAACCAGCAAGGCAAGCGGTGAGCGGAGCAGCGGAGGGTTTGCTCCTGCAGCCCTCGGCGGTGAAGCTGCATGCTGGCAGCCGTGGTGCATCGCTGCCGGTGGTCTGGGAGCTGGCAAGCGCCGATGGCAGCTCCAGAAACTGTTTCGGGGCTTGGTTAGGGGATGGGGCAGGGCTCGGCAGGTCGCACTTACCTGCGGTGTTGGGCACAGGCAAGCGTGACATATGGGGACAAGCGGCCGTGGCTGTTGTAGGGAGGGGAAACCCTCCCTTGCCAATCTGCTGAAGCTCTTTGAAAAAGTCAGTGAATATGTAGGTAAGACAGAGCCAGTTGATTTATCACGGACTCGGGCTTTTGGAGAGCTCTCAGGCTCGTGATAGGGAAATTACAAAATAGTTTACAACTAAAATGGACTGGAGGGCTGGTGGAGCTGGGCTTCTTCCCCCCGCATAGTGGCCCCAGAGGAGGGGTGGCTTGTGCTGGGGCTTGGGGTCCAGCCAAGCTCTTCTCACCCCAGCAGGCACTGGGGATCTGGCAGTGTTGGCACTGGGGGGGTCTGGCAGCACTGCCCCGCTGGGCTCGCAGGGTGGATGTCAGAGACCTCAAGCCCTGTAGGTTCAGGCTGCCTTGAAGATGCCCGTGAATCCTCACTATTAACACTTCATTATTCTTAAAACAATGCCACTTAATTCAACGGGGAACGTGGTGATTAACACATATTCCAGCAACAAGCACTGCGTAAACGAGTACATATTTTGTTGTATTAAAACTCTGGCCTTTCCACACATTGATGGGGGTTTGCATCGACACGCTCAGATCTGGGTTCTTGCAGCTCAGGATTTTGATTTATCACGGTATGATCCCCCTGCAGCCTGGCCCAGGGACCAGCTCCTGTTTCGTCATGGCTTTGCATCCGGAGGTCCCGCCGAGGGTGCCGCAAGGATGAAGCGATTCTGGCCATGGGCTGGTAACGAGGATTTTGGGAGCCGCCTGCTTTGTGTGTTGACCTCCGCTTATACCAAGATGTTTGAGGGACAGGCTGCCCCTGAAGCTAAAATCTGAACGCAGGCAGCAGCGATGCTGGCAACCCTGCGCTGTGACGTTCCTCCTCCTAATTTTGGAGGAATTCATCTGCTTGGGGGTGCGAGCGGTGGCTGCCATCAGAGCCCCGCTCCAGCCGTACTGTGACAAGGAGCGTATTTATTTCAAGTGGTCCGTTTGATGACATAAATAACGGATTGACTTTAATTGGTAAGACAGACTAAATGTATTCTTTCTCATAATGGCTGATTCATTCCCTGTGCCGATGTCCTGACAAGCTCTCGGCTAATAATACTCTTCTTGGGAAAAGTCTGGGAGGTCTCGGAAGGTTTTATGTATGTAAGAAAAAGTTAAAAAAATGAAAAAAGGGCGTTTTCCGCAGAGAAAACTGGAGAGGAGACTGGCTCAGAGTCACCCCTGGTTGCAGTCTGGTGGCAAGAACAGATGCTCCTACCCGCTCGCTGGCTTTTCCGAACAAAAGGCACCACCTGGTACCTTTGGAGGATGGGGATTTCAGAGAGCTGGGTGATGGCTGTACAAACCATTTTATTGCAGTATCTTTGATGTCCTCCATGTGAACCACCAGCGTGTTACTCATCTGTGCATAGCGTTTTTGTTTCCTTCAGGTTTTTCTTTGTAATTCCAGCATTTATGCCTGTTTTGTCATTGCTTGTGCCCTCTTACTTGCCTCCAGCCCTTGTGCAGGGACACCAGACACGACTTTGCAGGAAAAAATGAGCCCGCGGCAACCCGTGTGTTGTATTTCGGGAGCTGGTGCTGTAGGAGCTATTTTTTATTGTAGCCATATGGTGGATGCCTGCCTTTCACACCACTTGTGCTATAGCGAGGAGCCACGGTGGTTTTGCAGCTCCGGGACTGCGGGGCGGATGGTTTTATCTCCATCACTGCTGCTTTCCTCCCTCTCACGACAGCCCCTTTCTGTTGCGACGCCCGCACAGGTTTCCCTCGGACGCTGGGGCAAGCCGAGGCGCTGGACAGGATCTGCGAGCTGGACCTGGTGATCAGCTTGAACATACCCTTTGAGACGCTGAAGGATCGCCTGAGCGCCCGCTGGGTCCACCCAGCCAGCGGAAGGGTGTACAACATGGACTTCAACCCTCCCCATGTCCAGGTCAGAGCCCACAGCATCACGGTGGTGGCCCCTGGGAGCAATTCACCGAAGGAAAAGATCAGAGAAGCCTTTCTCTGCGTGAGCTGAGATCGTAAAAAAAGCATTGGGGAAGAAATCCCAGGTAGCAAGCACTGAGCGCCGGAGGGCTTTGCCCTCGGGAGCCAGCCTGAAGGAGTTGTGCTAAATGTTAATTAGGAAAGCGGGATTTACGTTAAATGCCGCCTGAGGATGCTCGACTGACGTGGAGCAGGACGAGGCGTTTGGCGGTGGTCGCGTGGCGGGGAGCTGCGGCGTGGGCGATGGGGCCGGTGGCTGCATCCCCTTGACGGTGTTTGCCTTCCTGCAGGGCATCGATGACCTGACGGGCGAGCCGCTGGTCCAGCGCGAGGACGACAAACCCGAGGCCGTTGCCGCCAGGCTCAGAAAATACAAAGATGCTGCGAAGCCAGTAATAGAGTTGTACAAGTGAGTTGGACCACGCGAATAAATCACGGCGTGCCCGTAAAAAACAGGCACCAGTGCTCTTTCCACCAGCCAGTCTCATGCACCCATCCGACAGCCCGAGGAGCCCCGGCACGGCCCCCGGTGGATTTTGGGGGGCAGATCACTGTGCTCAGCGGCACAGAGCTCAGCCTTTCATTGCAGCCAAGCCCGGGCCCTTTTTGGAGCGAGGAGGCTGATGTAAAGAAATCCACAGCTCCGGTGTGTCTTGTTGGGCTCCACAAAGGGCTTTGCCGGTGCTGGTGATGGGAGGGATTTTTTGGCTGCGTCAGAAGGCATTTGCAAATCCCTTCTGCTCCCCAGCTCCGCTGCGCGGGGCGTGGGAAGCCTATTTGCTTTGCAGAGGTGCTGCCCATCAGCGCTACAAAACCCAACCAGTTAAGAGTTTTAGCTTTCTTTTGGGTGACTGTCCTGCAGCACAAGACATGGAGAAGTTCGAGATACCTCAGACCCTACCCTGCGCACGCAGAGCCGTCGCTGAGCGAGCCGAGGGTCTGCGGGCGGGTAGGGACGGTGATATTGCAGAGAGCAGCTCCCCTCCTGCATGCACCCGCGAGCTGCTTTCTACCCTGCTTCCAGCAAACCCCTTCTCCCTGCGCTGTGCAGTCACCCTGCAAAAAATCAGTCCAGGGTCCCGAGGCGTTTAGGTAAAGTACGGGGCGACTGGCAAGAGGGCAGGAGAAGGGCGAGACCCCGGGGCTGGCTCGGATGGGTCCGCTGTGAGCAAAGACATCTTTCGGGGCTCGTCCCTTCTGCGCTGCTGGTAGTTCGGGAATCCCATTGGGAATAGATGTGGCAACCCACTGCTGAAAGGGAGTGAGCGCTCGGGAGCGTTTTTAAAAGCAGAAGTGGTCCGTGGGGCCCCAAAAGCGCCTTTGCCAGGGAGGGGGCAGAATTGGGGCTCCGAATTTCCATCTCGTTTAAGCACATGAATAAATCCTGCTGATTTATGTCTGTGCAGTTCTTTAGAGAGCGAGGGGTCTTTAGGGGGACAGGGGCAAGCTGTTCTCCTGGGTAACATCATTATTTGTGATTTTCTGGGTTTGGCTCATCCACTTGCGGATGCTGCTGGACTCCTCCCAGCGAACGCTGCGGACGGGAGCATCCACTGCTCATCCCCTTTATCCCCCTCCTCTCGCTCAAAAAGCCATTGGTGAGCTTCCAGCCCGGCCGGGCTGTCCCTTGCCGACGGCTAACCTGACTGCAAATACCTCTGTCCTCAGGAAAGGCTGGTGCTGACTTCTCCTCCCATCTCTCTTCCAGGAGCAGGGGAATCCTTCATTCTTTCTCGGGGACAGAGACCAACAAGATCTGGCCGTACGTGTACACCCTGCTTTCCAGCAAGATCCCACCCATTCTCTCGGACGAGGAGAACTAAATGGCTTGTGCCAAGGACCAAGAGTTAATTTGATCACGGATTTGGTTTCTCTGCGCGGGGGCTGTGCTCAGATTAGGCGATCGTGTGGTACCTAAAGTCCCTTCCCTGGGTGTACTGGGTGACATCAGTGGATACACAGTTATAGCCAGTATCAGGGCAAAAAGATCTTTGCTTGTAAGGTCAAGTTTGCTAGAATAAGGGGTTTTTTTTCTGTTTTGAGGCTATAAAGTATTCCTGCCTGTGGTCCAAGTACACACACAGACCAGTGATGCAAACCTGGGTAATGAACATACCAGGTTTACACAGCTTGCCACAATGTTCTTGCCACCCCCATACAAACCCCAGTCTCTGAGCCTACAGTTGCTCCACAGTACCGTTTAATGCAGATTACTCTCTAGGCTGGGGTTTTTTTATATTAAATTACATTAAATCAAATTTATTTCTCAGAAAAATAAAGCTCTAAAAAGCCAGACTTAGCCCAGTGGGAATCAGTGAGCAACATGGAAAATGTGTACACTACAAAGCTTAGAAATGTGAAGATCACATTTCCAGTATTAATACACATAAAAGAAGGAAAACATTGGAGGTAAAACACGTACTCGTGCTTCTTCCATAGAGAGCCATGAAACCCCTGTTATAAAAAGCTGCTGTACAGTCTAGTTTTCATGAGATGCTGTGACACTGAGCAGGATCCGTGCTGGGGATGAGTTGCACTCCTTTGTGCTTACCTTGTTTATAGCTTTTAATACTACGAGATACAATCACGTTGTAAGAGTTTCTCCCAAAGATGTATTTTAATGTGTGCTTCAGTTTTGGGGGAGAAATCAAGTCATTCCATCTTCTGTGCTGCCTTTGTCCCTGAGGTCCCCCGGAGACGGGGGCGTCTTCCCTACGTGGTTCCCGCTGCGGCTGCAGCATCCCTGGCAGAAGCAGCTCCCTCCCCACAAAGCCCCGGAGAGATGAGAGCCTTCCCTTCCTCGGGACGCGTGCAGGGGCTGCCGACGGCTGTGCCCGGGCGTTTTCCCGAGATTTAGAGCATCATCTGAGCGTGTCGCTCCTCTTTTCGCGCGCAGGAGCTTTGCGGCCAGGTGGCTTTTCTCAACTGGAAGTACTGTAACCCTCTTTGGTGGCAGGATGCAGTACCTAAGCAATGGGGACGTTCTTTTTGTCTCCTCGAGTTGCCTTATTTTATAGACTATATATTTAAGAAAAAAAGCAAGATGTGTATTTTTAAAGGTTTAAAAAAAAAAAAAGGCGCTGAATTTTAGCGTCGACTTTTGGGAACTCTGCACGAAGCTGCTTGCCTTCGCAGAGCGTGCTGCAGTCTGCCATGGGTGGCTCAGCAGGGAGGCAGAAAAGCTGTCACTCCCCGGCACCCGTTTGATTCATTAGAGCAGCCTGGGCAAGTTTCTGTTGCTGAAATGTCGCTGGTTTTCTTTTTGCTTGGAGAGTGAGGCAGGGGAGGGGGAGCTGACTGGCTTTTTTAGGGATGCACGGGCTCCGCATGCGAAACTTCAGCACATCCCCGGGCGTCTTCAGTCCCTGCTGAGCCACCTGCATCCTCATGCTACCAGGGGAGCCCCTGATGTTTGCTCTCCCCGTCGGAGGCAGCTTTGCCCCAGCACACTCCTGATAACGGAGCCATAAGCCGTCGGGCATCTGCTGAGCGAGATCTCTGCCCACGTGTTGCCGCCTGCTCCGCGGCGGCGGCGGCAGGGGAAGGCTCCGCATCCCGCTCTGGGTGGGAATTTTGCGGGTGGGAGCAGAGCGACCATCGGGTTTCACTGCTGTCCCTGGGGGTCTTTCCATCCCCCCCCCCGGAGCTCCTGGGCTGGGAGGATGCAAATCTTCCACCCTGCAATGAAATCCTATTTAAGAAAGATTTGAGATTTTTCCCATGACCCTCGGATGAAGGTCTGGGCTGTTTTTAAACACAAATCTAGAAATAGCCAAAATGTGTGTGCTGTTTCTTTCTAACAGTGTTGGGCAGGAGGGGAGGAGATGATGAGGGGGGGTGTTTAGGCGATAAAAGCAGCCTGGCCGCGGCGGGCGGCTCTGCCGGGGCCGAGTGCCGGGCAGGGGGGGCTGCTCCTTGTTTTCCCTTGCCTAGCTCTTGTGTCTCATCCTTCTCTGCCGCAAAATGCCTCCTGCAGAGAGGCTTGGCCCCACGCAGTGCCCAGCGCCAGGACAGGGCTCGCAGATGTCTTTGCCCCAGGAGAGCCGCCCGAGCGCTTGTTTTAAAGGCTTTGAGCCCTATAGATGTAGAAATCCCGCAACCGTGCATGCGTCAAGCCCTCGGGATAGATTTTTTTCTACAAGAGTTGTTGTACGGTGCGTATTCATAGACCAAATACCGGCAGGGATGAGGTGCCGGGCGACACGCGTCCCTCGCCTTTCCTCCCCACCGCGCTCCCCTTTGGTACTTTACTGTGAATCTCACGCCTTTTCTAAAGCGACAGCAATTTTGTACCGACCCAAGATACTGTGTGCCGAGAGGAGGGTCTCCCCGCGTGCGGGGCACTGCTGGCACATCACGCTGAGTTTTCTTCCTGGAGTTTCTTCCCGGTGAATCGCTGCAGCTGTGTTACACCTCGAAAGATGTAAATAAAATTTTTCTCCTGCTTATCCTTGTGCTGGCAGCGTCCGTGTGTGAGTTATGCTCGATCTCCCCTGAAAGCCAGGCTCAGTACAAGCCCTTGCCCTGTGCTGAGGCTGTGGGATGTGCCTGCGGGTAGCAGGTCATTTTTGACCTGGGGTTTCTTTGTAGGAGCCGAGGAGGAGGAAGGGAAGAAGAGGAACCAGAGCATCCCTGCTTGAACGCAGGAGAAGATCCCTCAGTTAAGGGGGTCCCCCAGGTTTTGGGCTTGGGTGCAATACTGCTATTTGGGTCCTGTCTTACGGCCAACTCCTTTATTTGGTATAATCCAAAATACCGGTTAAAAAGCCAGTTCTGACAGCGGAGATGAAGCTGGTGGCTCCTGCCCTCCCATCCTTGTTGCACATAAGGCGGTTTTGATTTTCCTATTTATTTAACTTCCCCCAATAAAAGTAGTTGAGAGCATTAGGCACAGCAAGGCTTTAGCTATTGCCTGCGCCCCGTGTCATCCGTCACATGTCTTTTGGTAGAGGAAATTAAAAGCCATAAGCTGAAGTGCCTCTGCCCATCGCTACCGGCTTGCAGATCCAATTGTTTTTTGCTTTTTTCTTTAATACCCAAATAGCACCTCGGGGCCCTCAGTCCCCTGTTTGGAGTAAGCAGAGACTCAGAAATGAATTAGGAGAAATAAAAAAAAAGGGTGATAAGCTATGAAACCACTGCCCGGGAGGTGAGAAAGCAGAGGCAGGGCTGAGGGTGGGCCTCGGCATCCGTGGCCAAAGGAGCCGAACCCGGCGGGAGGGGTGCGGGTGATGCCGGGGTTTTGGGGTTGTGGCAATCCGGAGGCGGAAAAGGGACGTATTGCCCATGTGCAACTCTGAGGGTGCACGGGCAGATAAATACAAGGAGGAGAAAAGAGGTACGTCAGCTAGAAAGTCAACTCGGTCTAAACCCAAAAGTTTGGAGGTCAAAAAGCAGAGGAATATGCAAGGAGGGCCAAAATCAAGCTGAGACCAAAGCCTTGGCTTTCCCTGGGGGATCTGGGGTGGCACAAGGGTCGGTGTCCCCATCCCTACAGCCTGACCTGCAGCGTGCACTGGGTTGCCTCCGGCCGCCCCAACTTGGGGGGGCTTCTCCCCAGCTGCGGGGGACACGGACCCAATCCCGGCACAGCTGGGGGATGCAAACAAAGCGGCCCGTGTGTCCCTGCCTGCGGGGCTGCTAAATATTCCCTTGAATTTCAGAACAACACTGAAAGCATTAAAATCCCCACCTTCCTCTTCTATTTGCGCATATTGTGCAATACCGATCCCTTCGTGTAAGGTTTGCAGTATGTTATTCTTTATTTGCTTTCCGCATGCCACGCTGTGTATTTACAGCCCAGTTATTTTAACTTGTCCTTTGGCGTATCTGACCCGGGGACCTGTGCCTTGAACTCCTCCGTTGTTTCCCCATCAGTCATTACGCTGTTCTCCTTCCCCTGGGCGCTGTGCGGAGAGATTAAAGCTTCTGGGATGCTCCGATACGTTGGGGATGGGGGATACCCAAGGAAGCTAACCGGAATTACCGATGGCTGCTTGGAAGAAATGGCTCTGATAGCTCGTAACCCCGTCACATCAGTAGTTACGTTGGATAAAGATTTGGGGGCAATTAATAGCGTGTTTATAGCATCGGCTAGTGCTAGCCTACCCAGGGAAGTGCCCCAGGTGTGTCTCGAGCAGCACGCCGCCCCGTTCCCGGCTCTGCAAAGCTTTGACACGCTGCATCCCTCCAAAGGATTTAACCTTCTCCAAAAAGCAAAAAAATCAGGGGAAGATAAAAAAAAAGAAAAAAGATTGCTTAGGTTTGCACTTGATGGATCAGACCTGCAGGCTCCAGATCCCACTCCATGCCACATTTTAGAAGATGTGATATGTCTGTCTCCATCCTCATCCTTTCCTGAGTCTCCGTAATCCCAAATATAACCCGGCGCGCCGTTCCCAGGCAGCAGTGCCCCAGCCCGTGGCCGTCGCCCCGTGACCCGGGACTGCCGCCGAATGACGAGCGGAAAGCCGGTGTGCGGGAGCGCAGCCAGGCTCCCCGTCGCTCTGCCGCAGGAGCCGGGAGAGAAGGATGCGAGCATCTGAAAAGCAAGGTAAGGAAAGCTTAGCCGCGAGCGGGGCGCGATGGCAAAAGAGCGAGAGGGTGCACGATCAAACAGGGGATGTTGTTTACGGCGAATTTGTGCTGAGTAATCATTGGGAAGGCACGCTCGGATCCTGCAGCTCGGGGTAAAGCAAAAAAAAAATAAAAAATTCCTGCCGTAAAGCCTCGTTATATAATAGGTTTGAGGGAAGGTATTGCGCCGAAAACTGCTTCTCTCGGCGGGGGAGCACATACTGCTGTCTGATGGCAAGTTAAGGCGCTGAGATTTGGCAGTGTATACCTGGGGATATAGCATTTAATAACCTCCAGCTGCCTCCTGCTCCGGATACCTCAGTAACTCCACGCAGAATGTGAGCATCTCTTCTTGCACCCCAAAATAGGTGTTTGTGCATTTTAGGACTGTGAAAGCCATTTGGGCATATTACCCTCAGTGAAGAGAAATGAAGTGATTTTCAGGCTTGAGATAATAATTGTAGCTTATATCTGAACATAGCTATACTTCCTGCAGGAAGGGTAATTAGGTGTATTTGTGAGTATATAAATGCTGCTATGAAATATTGATATCCAGCCTTTTGCAGCGCATCCACTGTGAAGCTGACCTTCAACCCCCCCCCCCATTTTATTATGCTGAGGCAAACAGAGCGCTGCATTCCCTTTAAAAACCCTACTTCAGGCCAGAAAAGCGAAAAAAATATATATAGCTAAATGCACACATCCTTGCCTTTGCTTTGGTCTTGCTGAGACAACCCCAGCCGGGTGCTCCCGGGGGGGGACGGCAGGGACGGGGCAGCCATCGGGGCTGTCTGCTCCCCATGGCACCGCTGCTTCAGGTAGGTGTTTATCCCCCTCGGCATCACCTCAGGAGCACTGCGACTTTAAATCAGGACATATTTAATGTCTCGCCGATGTATTTGTGGCTGTCGTTACTATAGTCTTGTTCTGGATACTGCCAAGGAGAAGAGGAGGAGGAGGAGAGGGAGGAAGAGGAGGGCGAGGAATATTTTGGACAGGCCCCCAGGTCTGCAAACTACAGACTTTATTCACCTCCTGTATTTGGACTAGAGCCTCCATCTTCTGATACCCTTCAACTGTGGATTTCTCTTAGTCATAGCCTTCCCTGAGGAAAAAAAAAAAAAAAAAATTAAAAAATCAGCGTACCCAGTAATTCAGATGGCACAGGCAGCGTGAAGGCAACCCGGGCTGCACTATATTTAGCCAGCCGTGACACAGCCGGCTTGTTTATGGTCCCAGAAACACTCCCAGCCGATAGATGCAGCATTTCGGAGCGGCCGCAGCCTTTAAGGAGGAACTGCATTTCGTCCTTGAGCGCCGGGTTTTTCCTGCGCGCTGCCGGCAGCGTAAGCGCCAACGTTTAATTGCTGACCTAACTAATCCGCCTCACGGAGGGCTTTGCCCTGCTGCAGATTAATCCCGGGGCCTCCCGCTGCACCCGCCGCGGCGCTTTCTGCAAGTCCTCAAAGCTGGATTTTGGGGTGGGATTTGCTAAAATCCATCCCGCTTCACTGCAAAAATATGGTGGCAGCCTGGGGGGCCATATGGAAAAGGGAATTGCCAGACCGTAGTGGTGAGGAATTCGATACCCAGATGTGCCGCCCAGGTTTTGGGATCAAAATTGGGCTATCGGGGCTGGCGGGCTCGGTGCCGAAATCGCGGGGTCGTGTTTTATCGCACCCCCAGCTCCGCTCAGGTGGCCGAAATTCGCCTGGCAAAGGCAATTAGCATCACCAGCGCGCGAGGGACGTAGCAAAGGATATAACGCGAGCATCTGTAATGAACAGCCGGCCCCAAAGGGGTGGCTGCTCCTCTCCCGGGATGCTCAGGAGTTGGGGAAATGTCTGAACCCGCTGCGGAGCTGCTCACGGGGGTCTGATCTTTGCTGCGTGTGCGGTGTCCCGCAGCACTCAGACTTGGAGAAGAAAAACCTCTGGCTGTAGGGAACACGGTCTGGAAATCCCAGCTGTACCGGACCATAATTCCCATCTGCCGTAAAAATTAGATTATAGATGCTTTTTCAGGGGTGGATAAAGCAGCTGTGGGAAGCTCTCAACATTAAAATGCTATAAATATTACTTTTTATTATTTATACTAAGTAATATTTTATGAACTCTTACAGTAGTTTACATTACAATAGTGTATGAGGCCCTGTTTTGATAGGCACTGTCAACAACGTACAGATTTCTTTCTCCTAAGTTCTTGTCTCCAGTAACCAGAAATAATGAG